AAATGCTAGCTACTCCCCCAGTTTCTCTTCCTGCTAAGGCCTCAGTTCTGCTAGTTCATGGCATCCGCACCAGAGAGCCAGCGACACTCTGGGGTGGAGGCCTTGGGAGGCCCTGGAGGAACGCTCCCTGGTGGGGGCCTTGGTAACAAGACTGGGATCTTGGCCTTGGGTCAGAGAGTCTTGTCCAGTCTCCAGGCTGGCTGGGCCAGTGGCACAGGCAAGTGTCCAGTGCTTAGTGTTGGTGGAGACAATGGTGTCTTTTCTGCACCTGTTCTGTGACGTGGTACAGGCGGGATACTGGTTGTGTAGCCCTAGCCCAGTTCTTTAGTGCTCTTAGTAGTTCCATGAACTTAAATCAGCTAGAGTTTGTTTCTGTTGCTTTCTGCTGAAAATCTTTTTTTTTTTTTTTTTTGAGGAAGATTAGCCGTGAGCTAACTACTGCCAATTCTCCTCTTTTTGCTGAGGAAGACTGGCCCTGAGCTAACATCTGTGCCCATCTTCCTCTGCTTTACACATGGGATGCCTACCACAGCATGGCTTATTGCCAACGGTGCCATGTCCGCACCCGGGATCCGAACTGGCAAACCCCAGGCCGGCCAGAAGCGGAATGTGCGCACTTAACTGCTGTACCACCAGGCCGGCCCCCATCTGCTGAAAATCTTGATATGCCCTGAAGAACTTGGCTCCTACCAGTCTCTCTCCTTCCTTGGTGACACACTCTCCCTCCTTCAACATGACAAGCATCTTCTTGCCTCAGGGCCTTGGCACATGCTGTTCCCTCTGCCTTGAACCCCCCCCCCCCCCCCACACACACACACAGGCTAATTCCTATTCATCCTTCAAATCTCAGGTTGAGTCACTTCCTCAGGGAGCCCTTTCCCGCCCCACTCCCAGCCTGCGCTCGGTCCTCCTTTCGTATATTCTGGCAGCATTGGCATTTTCCTTTGCAGCACTTTATCACAATTGTAATGAGTCATTTGTACCCATGAGGTCCTCCAGGACAGAGACTGTCTCTCATTCCAGGGTCCTGACATATAGTTGGGGCTGAGGAAAAATAAATTTCCTTTCCCACACTCTCTAGGGACCTCTGTCCCATCCTAACAACTCTCTGCCAGGAACTGTTCAGCCCCTATCAAACTTTCTGACTGTCAAGGAATATTTTCATTCACTTGCAATCAGATATCCCAACCCCAATGGGCTTAAGGAAAATAGTGAATTTATCAGCTTATGCAATTTTAAAGTCCAAGGGTGGATCAGGCTTCAGAAACAGCTGGATCAAGACTCATTCTCTCTTCTGCTTTCTTCCCTATGGCCTCTATTCTGTGGCGGATGCTCCCCAAGAGGTGACAAAGAAGGTATGAGCAGCCCTGGGCTCAAGATCTTCCCTTTTAGCAACTCCTTCCTAATGGTTCTAGCAGAAGCCAGGAGGGTGGAGGTCATCCCCACCCAGACCACATGAGCTGAGGGTGGGGCCCCTCAAAGAAAATTCTATTATAGGAAGAAAGGTAAATAGATACTAGGAGGCTAAAACAAGATACGTGACTATACTGGTGATTCTGGGAGCCTTCACTTCTTAATAAGCCATCCCCAAACTTAGTGATTTAAAATACTTTATCATTCCTCATGATTGTGTGGACTAGCTGGGCTCAGCTCAGCAGTTCTGCTGGTCTCTCCCGAGGTTACATCTGCTCGTGGCTCCACTGTGCCGGCGGGTCTAAGATGGCTTCCTTCCCATGTATGGAGCTGGTTGCTGGCCTTTCTCTCCGCCTGATCTCTCACCTCCATATGGTCCAGCCCAGACTTCATTTCACAGTGGCAGGAGTGGACGCTGCGAGGCCTGAGTGCTAGCCTCAGAAGTTGCACGATGTCACATCACTCCATTCTCTCATTAAAGTGAGTCTCAAGGCCAGTCCAGATTCAAGGGGTTGGGAAATGAACTCCCCATCTTGACAGCTGGTGTGACAAAGTCACATTGCAAAAGGGCATGGACCCAGGGAGGTGAAGATTCATGACAGGCAATTATTGAAATGCTCCACCATGCCCCACAACCCGTCTTCCAGGTCCCCTCACTAACTCTCCTCCCACCCCAGCAACCTTGTTCCTTTGCCCTTGATAACCACTAGAGGCTCAGCTCCTTCAAGAATCTTTCCGTGGAGTCTCAGCAATGGTCTCTACTAGCCTATCCCCACTTTTATTCATTTATCCATTAATTTACTCAATCACCAAGCAGTTACTAAAACCATCACAGTCCCATGCTGGCACCAGGGACTCAGTATGATGAATAAGACCCGGTTCCTCTCCTCAAAGAGTGTCCAGCCTCAGGAGGAGATGGAGAATTAAACAGATCATGACACGGAATATTAAGGGCAATGCTAGAGGGGCACAGGGCATCTGGGAGCATAGTAGGACAGCCAGCTCAGCACTGGGCTCAGTGATCTTCTCAGGATGAGTGGAGGGCTCCAGGTTGATAAGGGGAGGTGGAGCATGTATCAGTCAGAACTCTTGGTTGTAAGTGATAGGAACCTAACTTAAACTGACTTAAGGAAAAAGGGAATTTATTAATACATAACTAAAAACTCCTGAGACTATTAGCGTCAGGCATGGTTGGATCCAGGTGCTCATCAGAAATCACTCTTTTCTCTTAGCTCTGTTTTCCTCTGTGTTGGCTTAATTCTCAGGCAGACTGTCCTTATGTGTTAGCAAAGATAGCTACTAACAGCGTCAGACTTATGATTTTGATTGCCCAGGCCTGGGTCACAGGTTCACTCATGGAACCAGGGAGAGCAGTCAGTCTCTCAGAACCACAGGGTCTAAAAATGGAGCAGAGATGTTACCCAAGGGAGAAGAGTAAAAGAAAGGCTGATGAGCAGGCCAGACGTCAGGTGTGCTCCCAGGCAGGTGACTAATTACAACCCTCAAACAGAGGGAAGGAAGAGGTGGCCTTTGGAAGTAGAGATAACAGGTGTGCTAAAAAAGACCTGGGAGCATGGGGGCCAAATCTCTCCATGGCTCCTTCTTGGTTTTGTAAGCTCTGAGACTTTGCCTCTGAGTTTCTCCTGTGAAACTGAGCCTTTTCAAGTTGTTGTGAGGGCTAAATGAAATATCAAACATGGGGGCTCAGGAAATCATCCTATTCTCTAAATCAAACAGTAAGGCCCTAGCGCTGGTTTATTTTGCCCAGCAAAATAGAAGCGTCCCCCACCTAGTGGCCAGAGGGGTCATTGCGCCATAGAGTTGACCCATTTACAGTACCGTAAGGTTTCTCGTGCGTTTTCAAGCTCCTGGGCAGCTGCAGTAGCCTTTGTGGAGGACAGCGGGCCTGGGAGGGCCAGAAAGGACGAGGCTGTTCTCTCTGTAATGTGGGCTTGGCACAGGGTGGAGTAGGTGAGGTTGTTGATGGACAGATGGTTGGAGGGAGAAGTTGTTTTTCCTACTGTATTTGGCACTAGTGACTGCCAGTCAGCAGGTCTGGTTAGGGTGCATAGCTCACCTGGCAGGGGCTTTCCTCTTTACCTTCTCTGGGAAGAACCCCTAACTGCCCATCATTACCTCTTCAGCACTCTGGCTGGGAACTGTGATCTCTTTCAACTTCTACTTCATGGAAAATATCAAGGCCTCAGGTCACATGAAGCTGGTGACAGGGCTCAGATCAATGCCCAGGGACCCTGAATCCCAGACCGGTGTCCCCCACGACATGCCTCATGGCTGCCGTATGGGTACATACCCAGCTCTGTGTCCGCACTGAGGGGTTGTTACATCCCAATACTTGCTTTGCCTCCAGCTCTGGGCTAAGAGCTTTACTGCACGACGGCACGTCGTCTTCCCCTCAGGTGTCATTGGCGGCAGAGCCAGGGGTGCCGGGGATAAGCTGAGGTTCCCTAGCAGTGGAAGGTGACTTGTTGCTGGAGCCCAGGGAACCACCTTGGCCAACATGTTCCCTCCCCGCTTCCCCCACCATCAGATTGAATTAGGTTTCTGGCACTTCATAAATCAGCGAGTCTTTTTTTTTCTTTTGAGGAAGATTAGCCCTGAGCTAACATGTGCTGCCCATCCTCCTCTTTTTGCTGAAGAAGACTGGCCCTGAGCTAACATCCGTGCTCATCTTCCTCTATTTTGTATGTGGGACGCCTGCCACAGCATGGCTTGCCAAGCGGTGCCATGTCCACACCCGGGATCCGAACTGGCGAACCACGGGCCGCCGAAGCAGAATGTGCGAACTTAACCACTGTGCCACAGGGCCGGCCCAATAGTGAGTCTTAATAGAGGGGCCTGTGCCAGATGTCATCTGCCTGTGGACTCACCTCCCCAGGAAGACCCAGAGCTTACTTCAGGCCAAGAATAGAAACAACAGCAGTTACCATTTACATAGCATCCATCATGTGTCAGGCAATGTAATTGTTTCATATGTATCTATTCTTTTAATTCTCAACTTAACCCCGTAAGCTAGGTACTAATGCTTCACCCTGAGAGATCACACAGCCTGCAGTGGCAGAGCTGGGATCTGCACCTGGCTGCCAGAGTCCAGAGCCTGAGTCCCTTGCTGCTACATTAGACTGCCTCTCCACGGCTGATGCCTCTCCCTCCATGAGACCTTCCTTGGCCACCAGAGCCACGGGCAGGAGCTCCCTCTGATGTTTACCTGCTGGATTGTGTATTGTGGGTCCTGGGCACTGACCTCGGAGACCATTCCAGGCTAGAGAAATTCAATCTCGGGTGCTCAGGGTAAGAGGGGCCCTGACAGGAAGTCAGGACTCCTGATTCAAATTCCTGAGTGCCACCAGAATGGCCAAAATTAGAAAGACTGACAACACCAAGTGCAGACAAGGATGTGGAGCAACTGGAACTCTCCTACATTGCAGGTGGGAGTGTAAGCTGGCAGAACCACTTTGGAAAACCATTTGGTAGTATCTAGACAAGCTAAACATACACCTACCTTACGACACGGGAATTCCACTCCCGGGTATACATGTGGACATGCATGCCAAACAACACACACAACATTTTTCACCACAGATTTATTTATAATAGTTCAAAACTAGAAACAACCCAATTGTCCATCAACAGTAGAATATAATTCTACTACTACACAGCATTAAAAAATGAACTTCTGATACACACAATAACATGGATGAATCTCAAAGACATAATATTGAGCAAAAGAGGATGTATGTTTGATTCCATTTTTATAAAATTTAAGAGCAAGCAAAACTAATCTATGGTGATAGAGGTCAAAATAGTGTTTATTTCCGGGGGATGCTAACTAGGAAGTGGAACAAGGGAAACTTCTGGGGAGCGGGAGGGTGCCTGGAGGGTGACTGTCCGGATGTGTACGCATGTGAGGATTCATCAAACTGCACTCTAAAAGTTGGCACACATGGCTAAATGTACGCTGTATTTCAACAAGTTAGGGGAAAAAAGAAATGGTTAAATAAAGACAATTTCTGGGTACGCCTGACAAGAGTTATTTTCGCCCACGCACGTCCATTCTTCTCCCTTAGTCTGGAAGGAGCCCCATACTTCCTTCTTTTAGGCACGCCTCTCTCTCTCAACATGTTGTAGGTGGAGCTCATTCCTTCCTAGGCCCCAAATCAGAGCACCATTTCCTAGCTGCAAGTGACTTGGCTTAGAGAAGAGAACAGGACTAAGCTGGCTAATGAGTCAATCCCAGAATCTTTTGTTGAAAAGAGTAGAAAACGAGGGTCTTTCCACCGCAGTTGCCAATCTATCAGGATATAAGGCTGGTGCTGCCAGTGGCCATGTTGCTTCTTTCTGGAGAGAGTCTGCAGCCTGGAGAGAGGCCACACAGAGGAAAGTAGAGCAACATGGAATTCTTCCTGATGACACTGTGTCAGACCTGGATCTAGCCATCCCTGTACAGGCAGTTTTCATTGAGTGAACCAATACATTTCCTTTTTTAGCCAATCACTTTGATGTAAGTTTCTTACAGTTATAACTAGAGTATAACACACTGGGAATCTTGGGTAAAATTATGAGAGGTGTGCGGGGCTTGAGATATAAAATAACCATTGAGCCTCATCTGATCTGGTTTTTTTAAGATTGACACCTGAGCTAACATCTGTTGCCAACCAACCTTTTGTTTTTCTTCTTCTTCTTCTCCCCAAAGCTCCCCAGAACATAGTTGTATATTCTAGTTGTGAGTGCCTCTGGTTGTGCTGCGTGGGACGCCACCTCAGCATGGCCTGATGAGTGGTGCCATGTCCACGCCCAGGATCTGAACCAGTGAAACCCTGGGCCGCCAAGGTGGAGTGTGCAGACCTAACGCCTTGGCGATGGGGCTTGTCCTTTGTCCAATCTGTTTTGTGGGTGCTGCTGCTGCCTCTGCCCTGAGTGGCTGCTCGCTCTGTGAGTCCATGGCCCTGCCAGGAGATGGGCGAGGCAGACCTAGGGGTCACGTGGGAAGGACTCTTGTCCTTGTTTGGAAAGGGTTCTGGACTAGGAATCTAGTGAACCGGATTCCACTCTCCATTTTGCCCCTTCTTAGTGTCAAGAGCTTGGGCAAATCACTACACGTCTCTGAGCCTTGTTCCTTCTCTATAAAATGGAATATCATCACCCAGCTCTAAAGGTTGTTATGCAGATCAAATGCTTGTTTCCCAACTTTTCCAGCTTTTTCATATCCTTGGCTGAGTTAGTGCCTGCATCCTGGGCATTCCCACAGCGCCCTCTATAACCCTTTCACCATCACCACAATGATCTTTAACAGTGTGTGAACTCCCCAAGGGCAAGAAACTGTTCATCCCTGTGTGCCCATGCCAACAGGGCTGAGCACACAGTTAGCAAGGACTCCTGAATCCAGACTATGAGGTCCCGCAAGCCAAGGGCTCACAGTTTGGCAGCCTACCCACCCCTCTGCCCTTTCCTTCCTTGCCTGGTAGATAGGGCTGATTCTAACATCCTAGGTGGAGTAGGACTCTGGGGAACTTTGGGAGGCAGTCTGGGCTTTGGAAGCTGACAGCTGAGAACCCACCCCGGGGGTTGTTGTGGGGCCTTTCCAGCTGGCCAAGAGAAGGTGCCCAAGAACATTCTGCTGAGGGAAGAATGGGAGCTGAGGCTGCCTGGGCACCTTCCTCAGATCTGGCTGTCTGAAACAAAGGGCTCCTGAGGCCATCACACTCACTTCCTTTCCTAGCTCACTTCTGGGTCATGGAAAAGGTTCTTCCAAGAATCACTAGGTTTATAAGTCTCACAGAACAAACCTATTGCTGTGTAAGAGCCGAGCAGGAAAAGGCCATCTCTTCTCATGCACCCATGTTCATTCATTCAACACACACTTCATGACACACCACTTTGGACATCAGGAAGGTGGAAAGGAATGAGGCTAGGTCTCTGCCTTGAAGGGGTTGGCCTAGAGAGCTATATTGGACACAGCCTCCATTTTGGCCTCCCTGCCTCCTTTCCTGCATTCCTTCTCCACATAGCAGCCAGAATGAGCCGCTCAAACAAGGTAGATTCCCAGCTTAAACCTTCTAAAGATCTCCATGAGGCCCTCTGTGACAGGGGGAGGTAGATGAGCGGATAACGTGGTATTGAGTTTAGCACACCTGGAAAAACGTCAACACAGGGTTGCCAAGAAATTTGGATGTCTGTCTCCATCCTAAGTCCTAAGATCAGTATTTAGGGCCCTGGGAGTCTGAACGGGGTGAGGGGTCAATACACACATACTAGATCCAATGGTAATATGGCCCCAAATCCCAGGTCTGTTAAGTTGCAGTCTGGCTCATGGGAGAAATTCTTTATTTAGATGCTTCAGTAACCAAGAGACAGAGCATAAGCAACGCACACCCACCCACACACGGTACGTAAAGGCATTTCACAGGTGAAGGGAGGGGGAGGGAGGCCACGAGAGCAGCTAGGGACTCTCTGACCCAGTGAGGAGGGACCTCTGATGGTGCCACTCCCTAGAATTCCTGTTTGAAAGTTACAAGGAAAAATCCACTCCCAGTGAAGTCCTAGGCCATAGAACACAGCAGAGCTGGAGAAATCTAGGTTTGGGGCCTGGGGAATATGCTTCCTCATGGCATCAGCTCTCCTTTCTTTCCCGGGGCCCATCCCGCTCCCCGGCACTCAGGAGCTTCCCGGTGGATGACGGGGGAGGACTAGCACCACAGCAACCTAGGCAGGCGGTCTGCTGCACGAGGGGGAGGGCTAGCGGGCCGAGGGCAGCAACCAGCCTCTGAGGTGGCTGGCATGAGGCAGTTTGCCTTTAGCGGCCCAGAACCATCAAGGAAACCTGTATGTGGGGATTTTCCCACATGACCCTGGGTCAGAGCACCTCTGATGGAGAAGGGGAGAGAACCCCATTGGAGCAGGATCCCACTGGGTACTGAGGCCTCCGACAGTTCTATCTTATTCCCAGCTGCTGCAGATCCTTAGCACCATTCAGGAACTGTGGAGAAGGGGCAGGAGGAGCAGCAATGCTCTGCCAGGACTGTGTCATTGCTGCAGGAGGAGATCTCACAGTGGACACAAATCTGTACAACTGGCCAGCATCTGGTTCCAGGCTCAGAAAAGCCTGTACTTTCTGGGAGAAGCGGGGTGCCACATTAGTTTCCATGCGGCAGCCACTTCCATCTGCCCTTTCTTGCCTACGCCAAGGTCTGGTATGAAAGCTCCAGGTTTCAATGGACATGCCTAGAGCCTAGGGAGAGCTCAGCTCTTTAGCTGCAGGGACTGGTTCAAAACTGACCTGCAGAGGAAAGACAGGCCTGGGGCCTCATGACATATGGCCCACAGGGGCTGGGGAAGGGGAAAGGCCATCCTTCATACTACCACTTGAGACCTCAAGATCTGTGCTTCCCTTGTCCTGACTACAGGGCCTGTTCTAAGCGAAGGAGCAGGGGTGGATTTGCCTGGACCAATCAGAGGCTGTCTGTGGCCCACTCCTGCCTCAGGCCTATATATTCTCCGGATGTAAGAAAGGAGGGAGAGGGAGCCAAGGGCTGACCACAGTCACAGGAAGGTGGCTCATGGCTGGTTCAACCTGGGGTGCTAGACACAAACACCTCTAGTCTTCCAAGGTGGCTGAGTCTTTCTGAATAGGTTGCCTTTGCACTGGAATCTGGCTCAGGGGTGATGCCACTGTTTTTGGTGACCTGTAATTTGAGAAGGAACAAAGGCACAGGGTCAGTTTGCGGTGGGTGTGATGGTGCTCCAGGTAGCTTATCCCAATGCTAGTACAGCTCTCCCAGGGCCTTAGAGTCATAAGCAGGGCAGCTCTCCTTTGCCTAGGGCCACTGTCTGCTAGGCACAACATCGAGTGCTTTGCTTCTAGCATCCTATTTCATCCTCACGGCAACTGCACAAGACAGGGAATAGCACCCCCATTTTACATATGAGGAAACTTAAGTTCAGAAAGTCTAAGTAACCTGCCCACAGTAAACGTTTTTTTTTTTTTAAAGATTTTATTTTTCCTTTTTCTCCCCAAAGCTCCCTGGTACATAGTTGTGTATTTTTAGTTGTGTGTCCTTCTAGTTGTGGCATGTGGGACGCTGGCTCAACGTGGCCTGATGAGCTGTGCCATGTCTGTACCCAGGATTTGAACTGGCGAAACCCTGGGCCACTGAAGTAGAACGCACAAACTTAACCACTCGGCCACCGGGCCAGCCCCGAACAGTAACCATTTTTTAAGTGTGGCAGATTCAGGACGGCAGCTCATGTCTTTCCACTATACCAAACCATTTATTCTGCCCCTAGGGCCCTATGTGCCCTGGAGCATACAGAACAACCATTCTCCCCTCTCATCAAGTCTAAAGTGGCTCTCCTGTTCCTCTCTATCCCACTCTCTGGGCACCCAGCACCACCTGATGTTGCTTTGTTTATGGATTTGTTTAGGATCTGATTCTAGCACCAGAGGGGGATCTAAAGGATCAGGGAAGAGCATTGGTACTGGTTCCTACTGTAGCCCCAGTGCCCAAAACAGGGCTTGGCACATAATAGGTGCTTAATAAATATTTGTTGAATGAATGAAAGCTTGTCTCTAACAGCTCCCCTTATTGGTCCTAGCACTTCACATATATTATCTCTAACCCTCACAATGTTCCATAAGGTGAGGATGATGAGCTCCCTTTGGAAGTGGCAGAGCAACATTTGGAGCCAAAGAGGTTTGAATCCTGGGTGTAACTTCAAGTAACTATATGGTCTTGGGGAAGTCATTAACCTACCTGACATTAGCTTCCCTTGGGTTGTAAACAGGGGTCTGAATTCAGAGCTGCTGCTGCGAATTAAATGAGATTGAATTAGGTGTTCAACAAATTGTAGCTATAACCTTACAGAAAAGGAATTGGAGCCCAGAGGTTTACTGACTCATCTAAGGTCCCATAGCTGGAAAGTGTAGGAAGAAAACAGTAGACAACTCCAGCATTTTCAAGTGTGGGTAGCCCCAGGGCAGGGCTCTGGCCAGCTCCAGTTGTCTGCTGAAACTGCCACCAGGCAAGCTGCAAGGGAGGCATATTGAAATAGGTGTGAGGCCCAGGCTGCGCTGCTGGGGCTTGCCTCAAGTCCACATCTAAGGGAAGCCGCAAGAGTCCTCCCAACTAAAGACACAGCTACAAATAAAGAGGAAGGTGCGCTGCAGTGTGGGGGAGGCGGCGTTAGGCAGAGCAGACAGGACCAAGGACATTTTTGACTCCAACACTCTGTGTTTCCACCACCTTTAATTCCCTCGGTTCTGTGAGCAATGCAGAACCAACTACTAAAGTCAAAGCAATCATTTCAGCTGACTTTCCTGCCTGAAACTCAGTTTCCTCATCTGTAAAACAGGATAATTCCCATCTCAGGTTATGCTGTGGCACACTGTCCATACTACACAGTTCCCTTCTGCGAGGAAAGGAGGGAACCACGTGAGCCCTCCCCCGCTGGGGCCCTAGCCTCTTCATGTCACATGGTGCCACAACCTCCTTGTCAGCACGGTACCCCAGAGGAGCATGCTGTGAGCCTAAGTCTGAATTATGGATCTGCCCCATAGGATCACTCTGAATGGTGGTTGCTTATATCTGTAAAATCAGAATAATCATCCCTTCTTCCCAGGGTTGTTGTGAGGATTACCTGAGAGAATGTGCTTGGCATATGGCCGGCAAAAGAACAAGGGCTCAAAAAATGCTAGTCATTTTCAAGATTATCACGAACTGAAGACTCTCTGTTTACCAATTCCCTTCAAAGCACTTATCATAATTTGTAATTAGTTTTTTTACTTGCTTATTGTTTGCCTCCTCCCACCAGAATGTAAAGTCATGAGAGCAGGGACTGGGTCTGCCTTGGCCACCACTCAGAGGGTATCCAGTATTTGATGAATGAATGAAAGAACCTGGTCATATTTGGTATTGGCCTGTAGAGGGAGCTCTTGCCATAAAATTGACAGGAATGAAGAAATAGGGTCTTCAAGTCAGCGGAAAAAAAATGCTTCCCCAGTCAGACTCCTAAGGCCAGGAAATCCAAGTACTCTTAGGAGATCACCAAGGAAATCGTCCACGCTTCTCTACTAAAACCTTCAGCTCAGCAGGTCCGATGGCTGGGGAGAAGCTGATGGGTGAAAAACTTACAGAGGAGCCGCTTCCTTCTGTTAACTGACTGATCTTTTTGTTGACTGAGAAAAGGCTGCCAGGGTTCCATTTTAGCCAAGGAGCACCTGGCTTTGTTCTGATTCAGAAGCCCTGAGCTCCTGCAGCAGACCCTTGAATTTCAAAGGACGATTACTCACTGGTTCTTGTGTTTGAAGCCGCTGACATGAGCTTGGTACTGTTCTATGGAGTTCAGCACTATCTTACATGTCTTGCAGGGGTAGCCCTTCCCGGCTGAAACACACATAAAAGTCGAGATGCTTTGTTATCCACTAAGAAGGGACCTTTGACAGTGTGTGCAAATGCCCTTCTGAGGATGCCTTGAGGGGGGTGAGGTGAGGTGGTTGGCCCTGATGAGAATCCCAAAGGCCTCAACGCTCAGGGGACACATGCTGTTGTGCCTATGTGCTCCTTGGGGGTGGGAACCTTCTCATTCCCCTCCATGCCCCCAGTTCCAGCATTGAGCCTGGTGCAGAGTAGTTACCTGAGTAAATAAAAGATTGACAGAACAAAGAGGTGACATTTGGCCTGTCTTCTCCATCTTTTTTTTAAAGATTGGCACCTGAGCTAACAACTGTTGCCAATGTTTTTTTTTTCTGCCTTTTCTCCCCCAATCCCCCAGTACATAGTTGTATATTTTAGTTGTGGGTCCTTCTAGTTGTGGCATGTGGGATGCTGCCTCAGTGTGGCCTGACAAGCAGTGCCATGTCCGCGCCCAGGATCCAAACCAGCAAAACCCTGGGCCGCGGAAATGGAGCGCGCGAACTTAACCACTCGGCCACGGGGCTGGCCCCTGTCTTTTCCATCTTGACTGTGCTAAGTGCCCTCATTAAGGATGCCCCTAATGAGAGATCTCTGAGAAGGTGCCACTCTCCTCGGTCTTGCAATAACAGTAATTAATAAGAACACGTGTTACGAAAATCAATCTGTCTTTCTACCTTGGGGCTCACAGACACCCTGTCTCGCTACTCACCAGGACTGCTCTAATGGCAAAGTGGCCTTTATCCACAAGGTCTAGCAGAAAGCAGGAGTGAAGATACGGGGATGGATTCCTGGCTCTGCCTTCATGTGACCTTGGCTAAATCCCTTCCCCTTTCTGATTCTCACCTTTTCTAAACTATAAACCACTTATACCACAACTTATAACCATAATACTTATAATAAAAAGCAGCTATTAGTTACTAAGTGCCTGATATAGCCCATGCACTTCATAAAATTTTGTTTGGCCCTCATGATCCTGTGAGAATCATTACCACTATTCTATAGATGAGGAAACTAAGGCACAGTCACATGTCCAAGAACCCAGAGTTAGTAAGTGCAAACTCAGACGTGGCTGACTACAAAGGCCATACTTATCCTAGCATGCAGGGTGCCGGCTGTACAGGAAAGGCAGCTGTATACAGGACTTCAAGAGCCCTTCTGGCTCTGACACCTTTTGAATCATCTGCCATCCTAAAGTCTCAGAGCTCTGGAGTGGGATCACCTAGGCTCAAATCCAAGCTCTATGCTTTCTTACCTGTAGGACCACAGGCCAGTTACTTAACCTCTCTTGAGATTTGGTTTCCTCATTTGTAAAAGGGGGGATTCTCTGAGACTCAGGTTATTTACCTATAACATGAGGTCAGTATTAGTATCAACCTCATAAAGTTATTGTAATGATTCAAATAAAAGCATTTGGCACATAGTTAAGTATTCAACAAATGTGAGCTTTTATCACTACTATTATTTCACTCTTATGGGCTCCATGAGTCATGCTGGGCAAAGAGGTGGACAGTATCTGTTAACCAGTCATCCATGGCAGCTGCAGCTATGGAGAACGCCAACAATCTCCTCTACTCCAATAAGCTAGCCAATGTTCCCAGCTACCTTTGTTTCCCTTGTACCTTCAGATATTTTCTGGAAGACATATCCCTTTAAAGCATCTAAGGGGAAAATTACTGCAATCAGAATTTAGGTACTTTTTAGACATTTAAGATCAGAATTCATGGTTCAACACTAACAGGGAAAAGATGCATAATGGATTAGACTAGCAGAACTATCTTTCCACCAAGGTCAGGAGTGGGACCTAGGGCTGGTGAGGGGGTGACAACCACCAATGGTTAAGAGTTACTGATGCCCAGATTACAACAGCCCACTCTTATTAAGCACCAGGCAGCATGCCAGGATTTTGGATATTTATGTCCCTGCATTCTTACAACCACCGGCAAGATAGGTGGTGATCTCCATTTTTCAGAGCAGGAAACAGGCCCAGAGAGGTTAAGTGGTTGACTTGAGGTCAGAGCTGGAGTTTGCCCTCTGGTTTGTGAAGCCCCCATTCTTCCCTCTGTACCACAGGTCTCTGGACTCTCCTATGTCCCCTATGAGATACAAGATCTCAGCACACTGTTTACTGATCTGTAAGCTAGATTTAAATCCTCATCTGGGGTGACTGCAGAATTCACTGGTGCTTCAAAAAAACAGATTTGTCCTGTACCCACACTCATGAATTTTCATCTGCTTTCCACTTTACGTTTGATATTCTGGTTTACCTGCGTGATTTTATGAAGTATAAGCCACTAGAGCTGATTTTTAAACATTGGACTTATTTGGAAAAGCACCTGTATCTCCTCCCTTTTACTGCCTTAAAAGACCTGTCTAAACTTGCTTCTCCATTTTCTTGCCTCTCAATTACTTTGCAACCTTACTACGCACTTTGCGATCTCACTGCACACACACAGACATGCGCCACACGCTCTTTCTGAGGCCAGTGTTGACTTTGCTGTATCTAAATCTAATGAACCAAGTGGATGTTTATGAGGCTCATCATACCTGACCTCTCACAGCACCTGATGGAACTGGTGACTCCTCCTTCTTCAACGCCCGTGGCGTTCAGCATGCTGCACCCTTGCTTTTTCTCCTCTGCTGGCTCCTTCTCAGTCTCTTTTGCTGTCTCCTGTTTGACCTCCACTATTTAACACTGGCATTCCAGAGAGCTCAATGTTTTTCTTTTTTCATTTTATTGTTTTATTTTTAATTGTGGTAAAATACTTATAACAGAAAATTTACCATCTAAACTATTTTAAGTGTACAACTCAGTAATGTCAAAGGAGAAGTTTGGGCTAGAGAAATTTGCGTTTTCATCATGTTAAGTATATTCACATTGTTGTGTAACCAATCTCCAGAACTTTTTCATGTTGCAAAACTGAAAATCTACACCCACTGAACAACTCCCCATTTCCTCCTCCTCCTAACTCCTGGCAACCACCATTCCACATTCCGTTTCTGTAGGTTTGATTGCTCTAGATATCTCATACAGGTGAAATCATCCAGGATTTGTCTTTTGTCCCTGGCTTGGTTCACTTAGTATAATGTCTTGAAGGTTTATCCATGTTGTAGCACGTGAAAGAATTTCCAGAGGGCTCAGTCTTAGACCCTCAGGCTCTTCTCTCTCTAAACTCTCTAAGGGATCTCATTTATTCCCCTGACTTTGATTACCACCTATTAGGTTAAAACATATGAAACTACCAATATTTAACAGTTTCTGACGTATCAAAATGGCAATATCTCTAACCCAGACCTCTCCTTTGAGGTCTAGACCTTTATATCCAACTGCCTCTGTAATATCTCTACTTAGATATCTCATGGACATCTTAAACTCAAGCTGATGGAACCTGGTTATCCCCCTAAATCTGGGCACCATCCTTGACTGTTCCTTTTCTTTCCTCTCCCACGCTTGATGGCGAAGTCTTGATTCTACTTCATACAAACTTCTTGAATCCATCTACTTCTGTCTACTTCCTCTGCTGTTACCTTAGTCCAAGCTTCTATCTTCTTCAGTGTGAATTACTATAATAGCCTCATTGCTGGTCTCTCTTCACTACTTTTCCTCCCTATTCTTTTCCTTTTTTTTTTTTTTGTGAGGAAGATTAGCCCTGAGCTAACATCTACCGCCAATCCCCCTCTTTTTGCTGAGGAAGATTGGCCCTGACCTAACATCCATGCCCATCTTCCTCTATTTTATATGTGGGATGTCACCACAGCATGGCTCAATAAGCGGTGTGTAGGTCTGTGCCTGGGATGTGAACCTGTGAACCCTGGGCTACCGAAGCAGAGTGCATGAACTTAATCACTACGCTCCTAGGCCGCCCCCTACTCCCTATTCCAACCCATTCTCTACTTTGTGACCAGAATGATATAAGAATGTTTAAACTGTCAATGGCTTCCCAATGATTTTAGGATAAACACCTAAACCCTTAACATGACCCACAGTGCCATGACGAGGCGCTTGCTCCTCTTCCCAGCATCCTTTTGCCCCATACTATCCCCTTGCTGTCTGGGAGGCCTTCCTTGATCCTTGCTCCCCTATTTTAGGTTATCGCCATAGTATCCCCTTTGTTTGCTTTTCTAAAGCTTGTAACTTATAGTTCTTTGCTCAATGCCTGTCTCCTCTGCTAGACTTGAAGCTCCATGAGAACATGGACAATACCTGTCTTATTTACTACCATATATCCAATGGTATTAGGAAAGAGCTCAACAAGTACTTCTTGACTGTATATGAATTTAATAAGACATGAAAACCTGTCTTATGTACAGGGGTTGAAGAAACTGATAGATCAGCATGGGGCAGAGAAAGCAGACCTGTTCTTTGTAGGTGGCAAGGCCCTAAGTAGGGAGAGAAAGAGATGGGGTAAAGCAGAGGAAGATCCCAGTAACCCAGAGGAGAGGCTGAGTGCTTGGCAGCTGGAAGGCCTTGGCTGCCTGAATGACATGCAGGTTTTAGTTTTGGCATTCTTGGGGAGACGAGAGAAACGTGAACCTGGAGTATAAAGCAAACTCCATGTCTTGTTTGATCCGCTTAGTAGATGCTGCGTTTACCCCTGGAGGGAGAGATCCGGACACTCTGGGTCACCTCACATTTGACTCATACTTGTCACGAGATACTTGCCAGGAGTCCCATGGAAACTATTCTCTGACCCAACACAGAAATTGACCTGGGTTTCAGTGCTGGCTGCCTAGTATGGGACCCAGTACAAATCACTTCATCTTTCTGATCTTAACGTCCTCATTTGTAAAATGGGGATAATCAACCTTGCACAACAGAGTTGTTCTGAGGATTAAATCAGGTAATTGCATGTGAGAGCATCTGGCCTAAGGCCTGGACTACAGCAGCCATCAGTAAGTGTAGGATGACTGACTGACTGAACAAACTAACAAAAGAACAAGCTTTGACTCAAGTGAGCAGGAAAAAGTCAAGCTGCTAACAAATCTAAACCCTTTGCTAAGGCAGAATCCCTGTCAGTTGAAGTCACTGCCTGCATATCAACATCCCACTTCTGTGAGTCAGCAGGGGGTCAGGGTAGGCTCAGTGCCTCTGCTGACATCCTGTACTTGGAACGCCTCTGGCCAAGTACTCTCAGAGCCGGAGGCAAGAGGACAGAGTTTAAGTTTTGGAGCCAGACAGATCTAGAGACCCATACTGATGTTACTTAACTTAGAAGTCCTATCAGCTGTATGACCTGGAGCAAGTCACTCTCTCAACTTCTTTATTTGTGAAATGGGAAAATCATCCCTATTTATGGGAATACTGTGGGGATTAAATTATAATGTATATATTAATATCAAAGGGGGATGTGCTACCCCTGCCCCCTGGCTAGGTTTTCATGAAAGATTTTGGCTGATCTGCAAAGCAGTCAGACGCCTTAAGCAAGAAAAAAGGATTATGGTAATTTAGTCTTAGACAAATGGAGGAGGGTGGATACAGGAAGGTGGCTTTGGCTTGAGGTAAAAGAAGAGAATGGACACAAGTTAAGATAAGCAGCCTAAAACACTGCAGTGCCTGAGTTCTGCCAGTGGACAAGAGATAATGAGGGAAAGACCAGGGCAGGGCCTGGTAAAGGAGAGGCAGGAGCTGGAGCAAAGAAGCATCAACTGCAAGAGAACCTTGGGTCGTGCCAGCTGGATGCTATGCTGTTCCTATCAGTCGCAGGCCAAAATAGAAGCATCTTGTGAAGCGGGGTTCTGAGGAGCTTGGTTCCGAAGTTTCCAGATTCCTCAGCATATGGGACTGATCCTGTTAAAGGAGAAGGCACTGCCGGGTATGTGGAACAGTACGTAATTATCAGCCACCTCTTTCTGACTTTGAAGGTTTGTAAAGCAGGGTCCTTCAATGGCATTGGAGGAGCAAACCTGCTAAAGGGATGCCCTCGTGCTTCACAGCCACTGCTTGGCATCCTTCCCATTTGCGTCGGTATTGCCCAAACATGGCCTGTGTTGTATGGCTGCTTTGGGATGTGGGGGACTGGTGAGAGGCATGCTCCCCTCCTTGCCCCTAGGTGGTCTGGAACATCTATGGCACCTGGCTGTTCATCTTTCTGGGATTGTGGGCAGACTACAGATGACTCTGCACAGCAGCTTCCCTGAGGCCATGCTGTTCACACCTGGATGCCATGAGGGCCTCAAGTGTTGACTGTCTGGTGCTGCATCTCCAAGGCCTGGTGAGGAAACCCTGAGGACCAACACCAATGCTCCTGTAGGCTCCACAGAGGAACTGTCAGTCTTGGTCACTACCTACCCCAATGAGGGAACACAGTAGGTGCTCAATAAATATTTACAGTCTGAATGAAAGAGAAAATACTAATCTTCCCCCTTCGCCATCTTTAGGCCCTGAGTAGTTACTGTGATGGGAAGGGCTCCTCACTTTTTACGAATGCTCACTCGTGTGATGCTGACTGGCATCTTGAGGTCAGGGAGGGAGCTAACACTCTTGAGTCAGAGTGGTCTCCTTCCCCATACCCCAAGAATCCAGGCAGGCCTCAGATGCTGGGAGAGGAGGGGCGCTGAGAACACTCTAAAATCTGACAAGCTGCTGAGGCCTTCACACAAGAAATGTGGACGACAGGCAGTTTAAATTAGGGGTTACGAACTGGTGGCCCTTGGCCCAAATCTGGATTAGAGACTGGTTTGACTCACGCAGGGTTTAAAATTTTTTAAATTTAGTGGCACATTTAAAAATCATAAGAATTCTCACTCAAATCTGGCTTCTAGATTCTTTTGAAAAACTGAAAGACGGTAACAACTGGCTAGAGCTGGCTAGGAGGGGCATGCACTCTTCAGCTGACCATATTCCCTCCTGGATCTTTCACTTATTTAAATCTCCTGTCTGGCTTCTGCAGGCAATTGAGTTTGCAATGCCTGCTTGAGAAGACCTAAGAAGGAAAAGCATAGCCTTGGTGGTCTAGGGAGCCCCAGTGGTCAAGCCCCAATCCAGTTCTGGTATGAGCTGGGCCTCCTTACCTGATGAGTCAGTGACAGCAGGGTCTGCCAGCCGCCCATAGTGTGCCATGAGTTTGAGCTTGGTCTCCTGTTTCCTGTGTTTCTTGCCCACATAATGTTGCTGAGCCATGACAGGGTCGTTGAAAGTCGCGTGGCAGAGGCTGCAGAACTTGTCTGGGTCTATCATCTCTCTATTCTGGTGCAGGGCTAAGGTGGAGGCCACAAGGAAAGGGTTTGTAAGGCGTTTCGACAGAGCTGCGGTGAGAGAGTTCAAACAGAAACAATGAAAAACCCGGATGGTGCCAGGCTTGCGTGCATGCTGAATGCAAAGAAAGGCTGGGTCACTAGTTAATCACACTTGCACATGTAGCACTACCTGTGTGAATCAGAATGAAAGCCTTCCCTAATTAGGAAAACTGGGAAGATCTGGGGGAGCCCAAAGATCAGCTACTTTGTCAGCAGCTTTAACTACTTTAGGCATAGGAATCCCAATTTTCTCACATTCCGAGGAGGCTCTGTACTTCTATTATCAAGTTGCCAAATTACAACAGTCTATAGATATACATGCTTGCAACCTTTTTATCCCTCAGAATTCCCCAGAACTTCACAGCAGTGGAACAAGAAGTTTGGGTGTTTTGTCCCATCCTCGAAGTACCCAAGTTACAGAGCTGGGAGCCAATGCACAGATGCAGAAATTAAGGGCCTGAGGGTCATTTAGAAAAGGCAACTGTACTAGGGAGGCATTTTATTTATTTTTTTATTATTATTTTATTATTATTATTTTTTGGGGGAAGATTAGCCCTGAGCTAACTGCTGCCAATCCTCCTCTTTTTTTGCTGAGGAAGACTGGCCCTGAGCTAACATCCGTGCCCATTTTCCTCTACTTTATATGTGGGACGCCTACCACAGCATGGCCATGTCCACACTTGGGATCCGAACCGGTGAACCCCAGGTCGTCAAGTAGAACATGCGCACTTAACCGCTGTGTCACCAGGCTGACCCCTAGGGAGGCCTTTTAGGCTACACTGCCTTCTAGGCTGAGCTGGGGAGACAAGAGGATGACACTGACATTCATTATGTACTTTGTATATATATTTTCTCCTTTGGTCCTCAGAACTACCCCATGAACTAGGTATCGTTTTGCCACATTAGAGAGAAAAACTGAGGCTCAGATGGCCCAGCTAGTGGGTGAGTCAGGTCTGTGTGACCCTAAAGACCATGCCCTCTTTGCTATGCCAGGCTGCCAGAGGGTGGCAGGGAAAGTTGAAGGCTACAGCTTATGCTTTCATCTTCAGAAAACATTCCTGGCTCTGGTCAATGAATTCAGGGCATCAGAGCCGGGTTTGGGCATATGTGCAAGCCTCCTGTGGGTCAGCAAATGTCCTGATGCTGACTGCAGGATGTGCTGCTGCCTTATAAGGTGGGTGCCACGACTCACTAATCAACGAGTCTGGCTGAAATGGTGCCAAGCTAGTAACCACTACTTTAAGAATGTGGCTTAGAACCCCCCCACAGGTAGAGGAGTGGTGGGGCTCAGCAGCACTCACAGACACACGGCTCAGATGCTCTTTCATCTCTGCACCACTTAAATGGGGGAAGTTTTGAGGATTTTTGGCAAGTCAGAGGAAACTTGCTGGCTTTTCCCACAGTAATTTTCCAGTATAGGGAATCTCAATTTCCTTGGCCATTGATTTTTCCTGGTCATTGCTTCAGCAAGGCACTTGAAAAGTAATGTACATGTTGTAGAATATTTAATAATATGAGAAAATATTCAGTATGTGGTGTTGAGTGTATAAAAAAGCAGGTTGTACAGCAATATATTTCTTATGTCTTCAATTTTGCAAAACAACAACAAAAAGCACACTGGTGATAATGGAAAAAAGACCAAAAGCATAGAGTAAAAGGGTGCTTTTTGGTATTTTCCAACTTTTCTACAATGACTGTAGATTTTTGACATGAGAAAAGAGGCAATAATGGTCGTTAAGACATAAAGGTCACTGTTTAAAAGATACTGAAGAGAAGCATCAGAGGTGAATGGTTAAGTAAAGTTAGAGAAACTGCTTAATGGACATAAAATGAAAATGAGAGCTATGGGAGTCTTCTCTCAGGAAACAGCTTGAAATACTACAAGTATTCTACAGGGATGTCCACTGTATTGTTACTTATAAATACCAAAAAAGCAGAGGGGGAAAAACTTAAATATTCAACATTAGAGGAATGGGGTTAAGTGTGGTATGATGGGATATTACATTGTCATTAAAAATGTTTATGAAAAAGTTTTTAATAACATGGGAAATATAAATGTTATATTAAATGAAAAGAGTATGAAAGAAAATTACACACGCAATATGATCACGTCATTGTTAAAAAAGATACGTGCAATCTATATGTGTACACTGGTATTTTGAGACATCACCAACATATTACATGTTTCTTGGTGGTAGGATTTGGGTGATATTTTACTTTCCTCTTTGTACCTTTCAAATTATTTAAACTAGAATTATTCATAATGAGTATACATAGTTTTTATAAAAATAATAAGGTTAAAGTATTCTAAGTTTATATGCACATATACATGGATTTAATCTAGATATACATAAAACAAATATACACACAGATATACACACATACACATAACAGAAGATTTTAGGAGAAACAGTACTCCAAAATGTTAACAGTGGTTATCTCTGAATGGTAAAATTATGGGTACTTTTTCTTTCCATTTATCTATATTTTCCATATTTTCTACAACATGCTTGTATTACTTTTATATTAGAAAAACGTTTGATTTCAGAAATATAGTTACAAACTCATCTAATAATATGGAAATATACCTAAACTATAAAATTAAATGAAAAGCAAAAAGCAGGATACAAATGGTACATAAACTATGATTACAAGTATATAGAAACATATCTGCGTGTAGCAAAGGCCGAAAGTGAATATGGATAATAACCCTTTTTTCTTTTTTTTTTGAGGAAGATTAGCCTTGAGCTAACATCTGCCGCCAAGCCTCCTTTTTTTGCTGAGGAAGACTGGCCCTGGTGGGGCTGGCCCTGTGGCCGAGTGGTTAAGTTCACGCACTCCACTGCAGGCGGCCCAATGTTTCATTGGTTCAAATCCTGGGCGTGGACATCAAACCACGCTGAGGCAGCATCCCACATGCCACAACTAGAAGGACCCACAATGAAGAATACACAACTATGTACTGGGGGGCTTTGGGGAGAAAAAGGAAAAAATAAAATCTTAAAAAAAAAAAAAAGGCTGGCCCTGAGCTAACATCTGTGCCCATCTTCCTCTATTTTACATGTGGGACGCCTACCACAGCATGGCTTGACAGGTGGGGCATAGGTCCACATCTGGGATCCGAACCGGTGAACCCCCGGCCACTGAAGTAGAATGTGTGAACTTAACCGCTGTGCCACTGTGCTGGCCCGGATAATAACCTCTTGAATAAGAAATTTGTGGGACCAGGCATATTCCAGGGAACTTTCCCATTCATGGAAAGATAAGTCTATACAAAGCTAAAGATAACTGAACTTATAAAGTTCTGTTTTTAAGCTAGTTTCTCTTGGCCTAATGTTTAATCTTTTTGGTACAATGAATGGTCCCAACACTGACTTTAAACAAAAGCAATTAGTACAACTTAATGATGAACAAATCATAAGCAAGGTCAATGACACACTCCGTGAGGTGGATGCCTAACCAACTACTGCATTTTATGGGGGAGTCCACTCACTGGGTATCTTGATGATGCTGATAATAGTAACAATAGCAGCTGTTATTTACTGAGCATCTATTATATCCTAGGTTCCTAACATATGTTATTTCATTCTTACAACCTATGAAGTAGATAGTATAATCAACATTTTATAGGTGAGGAAACTCAGGCATGAAGAAGTTAAGTCATACAGATGATAAATAACACTGCCAGGATTTAAACCTGGGCATCTATGACTTCAAAGACCATAGTCTGTTTTGACATAGCACAAATAACTAGAATTGGGTGTGATGGGAGAGCATAATTAAGAGTGATTTTTTACCCTATCTTCAAAGCTTCCAAAACAATGTTGTCTTATTTTTATAATAAAGTAATACAAAAAAGATAAATCTTATAGATAGTGTTGTCTACTTCTTGGTCCAAAATAGAGAAGCAAAAATTACCAAGAAAAAATGAAATAAAGATCAAAAAACTTTCACTCTTGACTAACTGCAGTTAGGAGAGGTTAAAAATCCCAGAAAGTCAGGAGTTAATGAGATGAAAGCAAGGGCTGAGCCCCAGTGGTAACAAGATAAAGGGGGCTATTTTAGAAGTCACTGCACTGGGAATGAATTCATGGCAGTGGCAAACACAGCTTGCTGGGCAGTAGTGGCAGCACTGAAGTATTCAGCTTTGAAAGGCAAGTCCCTGTCTTGAGGAGAAGAGGCAGCTTTGAGGATTAAAGTGAGCAGGGCATAACCTGAGCACACAAAAAAAGACAAGGATTTAGCTTTCAACTAGGAACACATGGTAAAAGGGCAGGTGGATGCTGGGAGGGAAAAATACGTGGGAGAGGTAGGAGATAGAATGCTCTCATGGTGTGCATGGCCTGGAGGACTTTGGCATTCCTGAGTTATAAATAATTATTAGTCAGGACAAAAGCTCAGAGCTAAGAAGCTTCTATAGAGAAAAACTGATGTAACCCAAGAAAGAGAGGTTAGGTGAGCACAACTCTGAGGCTGCATTTCAATGAAACTGTGTCTACTTTATTATTTTTAAGGGCTCTTAAAAGCAGTTCAACCTCTCCAAGTCTGTGGGCCCAGTGAGCATTTCTGGGAGCACCTGTCATTGGTGCCTTGAGGACGGGAGGGGTCCCGAGACAGCACTACTCAGGAAAACCAGTACCTTCCACCTTAGTGGATTGCTGCTTCAGCTTTAAGTTCTTTGCGTGGGTCTTCCCCAGGTAGTGCGACTGGGCCACGACAGGGGAGGAAAAGGTCATGTTACAGATGGGGCAGCACTGGTTCTTGTCTTTGCTTCTGCTGCTCTTCTGGTTAGGAGAAAGAACACAGGTCTGATCACGCCATTGCCCAGCCAGAAAATCTTCAATGGTTCCCCACTGCCCACAGGAGAATGGGCATTCAAGGCCCCCTTCATACACTAACCCCAACCTACCTTTCTGGATTCTTCTCCAGCTACTTCATCCCAGGGTCTACTCACCACTCCCCACTTTATTCTCTGTTGCTTCCTTGCTTTGCTTAGGCCATTCCTCTTGCCTAGAAATGGTCTTCCCTTCTTTCCTGCCTGGCATATGTCTGCCTAGCCTTCGAGGACTAGATTTTTATTTTTATTTATTTTTTTTTTTGAGGAAGATTAGCCCTGAGCTAACTGCTGCCAACCCTCCTCTTTATGCTGAGGAAGACTGGCCCTGAGCTAACATCCGTGCCCATCTTCCTCTACTTTATATGTGGGACACCTGTCACAGCATGGCTTGACAAGCAGTGCCTTGTCCTCACCCAGGATCCCAACCGGCGAACCCCAGGCCGCCAAAGTGGAACGTGCGCACTTAACCACTGCTCCACCGGGCCGGCCCCGAGGACTAGATTAAATATCTCCTCTTCTGGGAGACTTCTACTCAAGAAAATCATTCAGTAAACAATTATCAAGCCTCTCTGTGTGAGTATTCCAGGAAGAACTCATCTTGTTCCTCTTTTGTACTCCCAGAGTGCATGAACTAAGACCTCTTATACCACTTGTCACCCTAAACTGACAGTGTCATAGCTTAGGAGGCTTTTCTGTGAACTTAAGTGCAATATTTGGGCATGGACTGTTTGACTCATCTTTGTTTCCTATCCTTAGCACCCTGCTGAAGTCTGGCACACAGCAGATGCTCAGGGTTTGTTGAACAAGCAGATCACTGGGTTTTATTTGTTGATTATGATTAGGCTAGGAAACAATCTATTTCAAACCTACATCAGGGGCTTCTAGCCTCTCTCTGAGAAGGTTTGATCTCTGAATAAAGTATTCACTGTAAGACAGCATTTTGCAACCTTGACACTATTGACATTTGGGGCTGGATAATTCTTCGTTGCAGGGGAGGAGCCCGTGATCCATGTGAACTACTGGGCCACCTGAGAGTTAAAGGAACCAAGATACAAAGAGGTAAGGTGACTTGCCCAGGGTCACAGAGTTGATCTTGTCTTTCTGAATTCCAAATCATAAGGAGAAGGGCAACCAGGGGATGCATCCAGTGAATTTGGAGAAAGGATGAGTAATGTCCTTTCAAACCTGTGGTCACTATAACAGGAGGCATAGTTTGTAAACTTATTCATTGAGTATCCACTAAGAACTGGAATTTTACCTTATCATACCCTTAAGAGGTAGAATTATTATCTCCATTGTATGGGTGAAGTACAGAAAGGTTAAGTGATGTGCCCAAAGTCACCCAACCAGTAAGTTGCAGAGCTAGTATCAGACCTTAGTCTGCTGACTTTTCATCCAATGACATTTGTACAGCCGCTTCTGGAACAAAAATAATAGTATTCCTGAGAGACTGAGGTTGTTTCAGCATAATTCTCACAGTGTTTCTAAGCCAAAAAGGAAATGTGTTTCCATCTCAATCAGAGGAGGCATTTGGAAAGGTGTTCCTTCCACATGTTTATTAGGAACATTCAAGGGCTGAACTCGGCTCTTTTCCCTGGATCTTAAGAAAGCAAAGAGCCTGGCTTCCTTCCACTTTCTCTCCTGGAGCAGTGACCTGGCAGCTTCCTGCCTACTCCAACAAACCATGAGTGGTAATGCCTATCCATGGCTCCATTTACTGAGCCCCTCCTATGTGCCAGGCTCTGTCTTGGGTGCTTTTTATAAACGTTCCCTCATTTTAGTTTGGAAAAATCCTAAAAGGTAGTTGATAGTGGCATCCTCATTTTTATAGAGGAAGAAATCAAGGCTCAGAGAAGTAATAAGATTTGCCCAAGTCACACGACAGGGCTGGGACTTGAAGCCAAGTCAGTCTGACTCAAAGCCCACATTCTTTCCACCACACCAACCTGCCTGCTGGCTTCCCTGGGAAGCGAGCGGTCTCATTATGGCAGCTGGATTACCTGATCTGAGTCTAGCTTCTTCGTTTCCCCCTTTAATGTCTCCATTCCATGGATTGCTAGGTATCTCTTCACTTTGTTGGCATGTTTTTTGCTCTGCAAGAACCCAGGAAAAAGATCAAAGATAGCCAAATGCCATTTCATATCTAAGGCACTCAAAAACACTTACTAGATTTTCATCTGATTCACCCTCCTAAAAAGTTTTGAGGAGAGGGTCGAGGGGGAGAAATCTAGTTTACTGAGTTCCTACTCTGTTCAAGGCATTTAACATGCCGTCAGATCTAATCTTTACAACAATCTATGAAAAAATTATCATCATTTCTATCTTATACATGAGGAAACTGAGGCTGAGATGGTGAGGTTTCTTGCCCAAGATGAGAAGCAGAGTTGTGATTTGAACTCAGGTTTATTTAAAGCCAAAGTGCATACTTTCTACTGTACCAAGCTGCAAGGGAAGACATAAGTATAATGACCCTGATTTGGATGGGAGAGATGAGACTCAGAAAAATTAAGTCAATCTTCAAGTCATAGTCAACATGCATGGAGGCAACATGTGGTGGCTAAGAAGGGATCACTGTGCAAGCCAGGGAGAGGTGGGGGCTTGGGGCGGGTCTGGAAACTAAAGCAGTTCTACAGCTCCAATGGCATACCTGGTAGTGTGCCAGCTTCTGGGACTCAGAAATGAGCAAGGCGCAGCAAACCTTACACTGGGTATTGGTGAAGAGACACTGGTTCTTCTGGATCATGTGCTCCACTACAGAGAGGAAAATAAAAAAATCTCTGAGTTAGAACCTGCCTCAAGAGCACCGTCTTTGAACCCTGCCTCAAACGCAGGCACTGAGTAATGGAATGCCATACTATTATATCTCAGCAAACTTCAGTCACTCCTTCCCTATTGCTTTTGTGACTCGTATCATGTTCTCACACAACCTATACTATTCCTTCATATTTTTTTTTAAGATTTTATTTTTCCTTTTTCTCCCCAAAGCCCCCCAGTACAGAATCGTATATTTTAGTTGTGGATCCTTCTAGTTGTGGCCTGTGGGACGCCGCCTCAGCATGGCTTGATGAACAATACCATGTCTGTGCCCAGGATCCAAACCGGTGAAACCTTGGGCTGCTGAAGCAGAGTGTGCGAACTTAACCACTAGGCCACAGGGCCGGCTCTCTTCCTTCATAATTTTCTGTAAGCCCACTTTCTTTCCCAAGTAAACTTAAAGAAGTTTCTTAAGATATAATTGACATAACATTATATTTGTTTCAGATGTAAAATATAATGATTCGATATTTGTATATATTGCAAAATGATGACTACAATAAGTTTAGTTAACATTCGTCATCAAACATAGTTACAAGTTTCTTTCTGATAGGAAGTTTTCAGATCTACTCTCTTAGCAACTTTCAAATATACAATACAGCATTATTAGATATAGCCACTATGCTGTACAAGTAAACTCTTTTAAAAAGGAATCTTTAGATCATAAACTCAAGTAGATACCAATAAAAATAAATAAAACAGGGGCCAGCCCGGTGGTACAGCAATTAAGTTCACATGTTCTGCTTTGGTGGCCCGGGGTTCACTGGTTCGGATCGCAGGTGCGGACCTACACACTGCTTGTCAAGCCATGCTGTGGTAGGTGTCCCACATATAAAGTAGAGGAAGATGGGCACAGATGTTAGCTCAGGCCCAGTCTTCCTCAGCAAAAAAGGAGGACTGGCCATAGATGTTAGCTCAGGGCAAATCTTTCTCAAAAAATAAAATAAAATAAAAATTAAAAAATCTTTAAAAAAATTAAATAAATAAAAAATAAATACAATAAAAGTGAAACAATTCTAGCCAGATACTGGTGCCAGAGGCTTTGAGCTTTCCCCCAAAAGAACAATAAGAGAACAGCAACTGTGAAGACAGGCATTAAGACATGGTAGCACCCAAATGAGACTTCTTCCCAGATAGAATCAGAAGACTTGAAAAATTTGAAAAGGGAATAATTTTCTCACTGTTCTTTTTTTTTCAATTGTAATAATACATTCTGTATCTTTTTATTATTGATGGAACATTTTCTGTGGAATTAAAAATAAAGAAATGTTCAAATTTACTCCACTAAAAGATCAATAGCATTTTCTCATTATTTAAATTTACATTGTTGGGGCCAGCCCCACAGCTGAGTGCTTAAGTTTGTGTGCTCCGCTTCGCCAGCCCAGGATTCACCAGTTTGGATCCTGGGTGTGGACCTAGCACTGCCCATCAAGCCATGCTGTGGTGGCATCCCACATAGAAGAACTAAAATGACCTACAACTAGGATATACAACTACATGCTGGGGCTTTAGGGAGGGAAAAAAAGGAAGATTAGCAACAGATGTTAGCTCCGGGCCAATCTTCCTCACACACACACACAAATTTATATTGCTATAACCATACATACAGAATTGGTTAGAAAATCATATTAAGGTTTAGTTATTAAAAGACTAGAACATTCCTTTTCTATGGAAAGAATGTGAGTTTCTGTTTATTAAAGAAACAACAAAAATTGGTTTTCTTTTGAATTAATTAGAATATTTGAAAAGAAATTTTGGAGGATAAGTATCAGTTAGAAGACGCTGTTGGATGATCTTTTATCCTCAGAAGGAAAGGTAAATTAATCCTATTCTTATACAGTAAACATAAATTATTATTATCTAATACCAGTTAAATATTTGTGGTACAAATCATGGTTAGGAACTTGGGCTCTCATGGTATGCCAACTCAGATTCAAATCCTCCTGCTGTTACTTACTAGCTGTGTGATTTTATGGAAATTACTTAACCTCCATCCCATAGTTTTCCTCTGCATAAAATGGGAGTACTGGTAACATGTATCCCATAGAATGAATTCTCCTTGTGGTTTTCCATATAAAGCACTTAGCATAGTGCCTGGCCTAGGAAATGCTCAATCAGAAAGCTATACATCAAATTCTTTTCTGGGCCCTGTGGTTCTGAGCAAATTAATTATTTTCTATATTGTACCTATTATGATATTTCTTAATCCAGAATTTGATAACTGTTAAAATTTTTCCAGGGCCGGCCTGGTGGCACAGCAGTTAAGTTTGCATGTTCTCCTTCGGCGGCCCAGGGTTCACTGGTTCGGATTCCAGGTGTGGACATGGCACTGCTTGGCAAGCCATGCTGTGGCAGGCGTCCCACATATACAGTAGAGGAAGATGGGCATGGATGTTAGCTCAAGGCCAGTCTTCCTCAGCAAAAAGAGGAGGACTGGCAGCAGATGTTAACTCAGGGCTAATCCTTCTCCTCAAAAAAAATTTTTTTCTCACTGCTCTTGATCTGACTTTGAAACATCTGAAATCACCTAACACGAGTTCCACACTGTAGGAAACCATAGTATCAACCTGTTCTTAATTGTTGGGCCTGGAGAACAAAGCCTTACCTTTGGGGAGGGAGTAAATCTTACCCAAGGCATGAGTTCTATCATGACATTGATAACCTAAGGCAGAGTCCAGAAAACTGTGAAGGACAGAAAGCCCATGTATTTTATCTTCTACTCTGGACCAAAAAGTGGTCAAGATGCCTTGGAGGGAGGTTCCTTTTTTTTTGGAGAGAAGGTCAGTGTGGCTAGAGCACGGTAAATGAGAGAAAAATGGTAGGAAATAAAGTTGAAGAATAGCATGAGGTCTACTAGATCACGCCGAATGAATATAAGGCTTCATAAGTCATGATATGAATTACAGATTTTATTCTAAGTGCAATGAGAGGCAACAAGGCATGCCTTATGTTTTGAAAAGATTACTCTGATTACTGTGTCAGCAGACTGTATGGGGACAGGAATGGAAGCAGAGAGAACAAGGAGGAGGCTGGTGCAATGGATACCATACCAACAGAGCCTGGATGAGAATGCATGGCAGTGGAGACCTGAGAGGGCCCTAGTTAGCTACATATTCCTGGTCAACTCTGAGGCTCTCTGCACACACGCAGAGAAGAAACACAAAAGGGCCTGACAGAAAGTAAAAGCCAGTGCAGAATTTAAAAAGGCCTTGAATGTGCTTCCCTACCAACACACAGATCCAACAGCAGAAGACCGAGACCTTACTGGTGCCAGGTGTTTGAGAACAAGCTCTACTGAATCACTGCCTGACCACTAAGCAACAGAGACAGAAATTATAAAAAAAGAACCAAAATTGAGAATATTTGCTCTTAAAGTCTTCAGCTACCAAGTAAGCAGTTTTCTTCCAAACTTTGAGGGAGCCCAAACTATTCCATGCATGAAACCACATGGAGAGGCCCTGAGACTATCTGAAAAGAGAGGAATGCCTGCCCAGCCCCTACAAGTTCCATCCCACTGCTGTTTCAGCTCTAGCCACCATCTGACCGCAACTGCGTAAGAAACCCACAGACAGAACTGGTCAGCCAAGCCTTTCCTGAATTCCTGACCCACAAAAGCCAGGAGAGGTTCACAAGGTTGGAGGAACTAAGGTTCACGAAGGGAAAAAGAACTTAAATGAATTCAGAATTCTGAGAAGGTGGCCTGAATGTGCATCCCTGTTGCCCTGATATCCACATACAACTCTAATCCAACTACCTCTCCAGAGTGGGACAGGTTTGACATAGGAAATTAGGTGCTTAGAAAATCATTGGAAAGGCTGAAGGTAGTCAGTTGGGCCTCCAAAAACATCTCTAGGAACAATGTACAACTGTTCCAACAGGCAATAGAAGCCTCCATCACAGCCTTGCTAGAAGTAAGAAGCTCCCACTGTCATTAAACCTACCTCTCAACCTATGAAGCTGGAGCACGGATGCTAGAATGCTGATGTAGGAAGACCTCACAGTTCCATGACCTTTTTTGACAGCAACAACAGCCAATAGGCATGGGAATATGGTCTTCACTGCATTTCTGCCCTCCAAATCTTATGAGAAGGCATCTGATTGGCAGGATTTAATTTGTATCCATATTGTGGCCAACCAGAAGATGTATTAGGCTGAAGATGAGGGATCTAGATTATGAAGTACAGGGCTGATTTTCACAGAGTCAATGAAGTAGAACAGAGAGCACTAGTGTGGCAAAATAAGATAATTCATAAACTTAAGAAATTCAGGGGAAGCAGTATTTAGGAGACAAAATGATCATCAAACTTCAATCCAAGTTACAACTGTCTTTGGGTGACTTAAGGTGCTTTAAGTTGCCTTAGGGCCAGAATGGCTGGTCATTGCATCACTAAGCTACCTCCCATATTCCAACTAATGGTGAACATTGCTGCTCTACAGTGATTTGCTATTCCTTGGGCCTAGACGTGGCCTTAGCCGCTTCAACTCAGCTCTACAGAAATTCCTCAATTGACTGGAGTCAGTCCTTAGAGAGAGATGCAACTTACTTACTACCCCGCTTATTATAGTGTATTAGGAGCTAGTGGGTTTCTAGATAAAGCTATAGTTAGAAAGCAACAAATAAGAAAAGATCTGAGGAAAAGGAGGCTGGATATAACCTACCTGTGGGTCAGATTGGCTAGGCAGTATGGTATAACAGGCAGGGTGGTCTACAAGAATAAACTGGGCAGTTAGCCCCATTAAGGTCACTTAGTCTTAGTACTTCTGTCTATCTTGTGAATCCATATTGTTGATGGTCTCAAGAAGCTCACATTTTTATCATACTAAAAAGGCATGAAGAAAGCAAATGTAAGGGCATTGATGACGTGGTGCTAAAAAGTTTCCTACTTAAAATATGTATAAAACAGAGTCAAGCTGAAAGCACAATAAAAGCAATGAAAAATTCACTAGAGGAACTCAACAGCTGATTCAAAATGGCAGAAGAAAGAATCAGTGAACTAGACGATAGATGAATAGAAATATTCAATCTGGAGAACAGAGAGAGGGGCAGGCCCCATGGCCAAGTAATTTAAGTTCGTGAGCTCCACTTCGGTGGTCCAGGGTTTTGCCGGTTCAGATCCTGGGCGCAGATGTGGCACTGCTCATCAAGCCATGCCAAGGCAGTGTCCCACATAGCACAACCAGAGGCACTCACAACTAGAAAATACAAGTAAGTACTGGGGGGCTTTGGGGAGAAGAAGAAGAAGAAAAAAGAAGATTGGCAGCACATGTTAGCTCAGGTGCCAATCTTTTAAAAAAACAAAACAAACAAACAAACAAAAAGAACAGAGAGAAAGAAAATTGAAGAATAATGAACAGAGCCTCAGGGACCTATAGGACACATCAAGCATACCAACCTACGTGTAAGGGGAATCTCAGGAGAGAAGAGAGAGAAAGGAGCAGAAAAAATAATGTCTGAAAACTCCCCATATTTGATCAAAGAAAAACATTAATCTTAGGGCCAGCCCTGTGGTGCAGTGGTTAAGTTTACGCAGTTAGCTTCAGCAGCCTGGGGTTTGCAGGTTTGGATCCTGGGTGTGGACCTACGCACTGCTTGTAAAGCCATGCTTGTGGGCAGGCATCCCACGTGTAAAACAGAGGAAGATGGGCATGGATCTTAGCTCAGGGCCACTCTTCCTCAGCAAAAAGAGCAGGATTGGCGGCAGATATTAGCTCAGGGCTAATCTTCCTCAGAAAACAAACAAACAAACAAACAAAAACATTAATCTACACATCCAAAAATCTGAAGGCCCCCAAAGTAGGATAAATACGATGAGATTTACACCTAGACACATCTATTGAAAGATTAACTATTAAAAGATATAGACAGAAAATCTTGAAAGCAGCTAGAGAAAAATGACTCATCATGTATAGTGGAATAATTCAATTAATGAGTTAACCTCATCTGAAACAACGAAGGCTGGAAGGCAGTGCAATGACATATTCAAAGTAGTGAGAAAGAATAAAACTGTCAACCAAGAACTCTACGTCCAGCAAAACTATCCTTCAAACACTATGCTAAGTGACCAAAGCCAGTCACAAAAGGCCACATATTATACAAGTCCATTTATATGAGATGTCAAGAATAGGCAAATCCATAGAAACAGAAAGGAGATAAGTAGTTGCCAGGGGTGGCTGCTAATGGGTATAGGGTTTCTTTGTGGGGTGATGAAAATGTTCTGAAATTAGACAACGGTGATGGTTGCACAACTTTGTGAAAACACTAAACCCCAACAAATTGTACATTTGAAAAGGATGAACTTTATGGTATATGAATTATGGATCAATAAAGCTGTTATTAAAAAAATAGATATCCTTTAAGAAGGAATAAAGACATTTCCAGATAAAGACTGAGAGAATTCATTGCTAGCAGGTCTGCTTTGCAAGAAATACTAAAGGAAACCCTTTAGGGCGAAAGGAGGTGATACTAAACGCTAACCTGAAACCAGAGGAAGAAATAAAGAATACCAGGGGCCTGGCCCTGTGGCCGAGTGGTTAAGTTCAAGCGCTCTGCTTCAGCGGCCCAGGGTTTCACCGGTTCGGATCTTGGGTGTGGACATGGCACCACTCATCAGGTCATGCTGAGCTGGCATGCCACATAGCACAACCAGAGGCACTCACAACTAGAATATACAACTACATACTGGGGGGCTTTGGCGAGAAGAAGAAAAAAAAGAAAATTGGCAACAGATGTTAGCTCAGCTGTCAATCTTCAAAAAAAAAAAAGAAAGAAAGAACACCAGAAATGGTAAATATGTAGGTTAATATACAAGAAGCTATAAGTATTTTTTTTCTAATTTTTTCTCAACTTCTTTAAAAGACATAATATTGTATAAAGCAATAATTATGACACTGTATAATTAGGCTTATAACACATATAGATGTAACCTATAAGACAATAATAGCACAAAGCAGGGGGAGGAAAGGAGCGATATCAGAGGAATGTTTTTATATTTTACAAGATTTAAGTTAGTATTAATTTGAAGTAGACTGTGATGAGGAAGATGTATCTTGCAGTTCCTAGAGTACCACCAAGAAAATAACTTAAAAAAAAAAGTCAACGGAGGAACTAAAATAGTACGCTAAAAAATACTGAAAACAAAAAACGCCAGTAAAGAGGAGGAAGAGAAGAACAGAACAGAAAGGAGATAAATAGCAAAATGGGAAATGCAAATCTAGCCAGATCAGTAATTAGATTAAGTGCAAATAGTTTAAAGAGCCACTCAAAAGTCAGAGAGTGTAAAAAGATAAAAAAGCAAGGGGCCAGCCCTGTGGCTGAGCAGTTAAGTTCGCATGCTCCACTTTGGCCGCCCAGGGTTTTGCAGGTTCAGATCCTGGGCGCAGACATGGCACCGCTCATCGGGCCACGCTGAGGCAGTGTCCCACACGCCACAACTAGAAGAACCCACAGCTGAAAATATACAACTATGTACTGGGGGATTTTGGGGAGAAAAAGGAAGAAAAATCAAAAATAAAATCTTAAGAAAAAAAAAAAGCAAGGTCCATACAATGGAATTCTATTTAGCAATAAAAATGAATAACGTACTAATACATACTACAAATTGGCTGAACTTCAAAAACATGCTGAGTCAGAGAAGTCAAATGCAAGAGACTACACATTGAATGATTCTGTTCATATGAAAATGTCCAGAAAAGGTAAATTTATTTATTTATTTATTGAGGAAAATAAGCCCTGACCTAACATCTACTGCCAATCCACACCTGGGATCGGAACTGGTGAACCCTGGGCCATTAAAGCAGAATGTGCAAACCTAACCACTGCACCACTGGGTCAGCCCCAGAAAAGGTAAATTTATAGAGATAGAAAAGAGATCAGTGGTTGCGTAGGGGAGAAGGTGGGAGTGGGGATTTAATGTAAAAGAGCACAAACTAGAGTGATGGAAATGCTCTAAAATTGGATTGTAGCTACACAACTCTATGCTTTTTTTTTTTTTGAGGAAGACTGTCACTGAGCTAACATCTGTGCCAATCTTCCTCTATTTTATGTGGGATGCTGCCACAGCGTGGCTTGACCAGTGGTGCTAGGTCTGTGCCCAGGATCTGAACCTGAGAACCCTGGGCTGCCGAAGCAGAGCACGCCAACCTAACCACTACACCACTGCACCAGCCCCACACAATTCTGTACTTTTACTAAAAATCGTTGAATTGTACAGTTACAGTGGGTGAATTTTATGGTATGTAAATTACAACTCAATGAAAGTGCTTAGATAAAAACAAAACAAGGTGAGTAGAACTTGGGTGTTGAGGTATCTGCCTAGACCTTATCTAAATATTGGAGAAGTGGGGAGACTAGGGAAATGAAATGGGTGGCAAGTCACACTGTACATTCACACACACACAAACAGTTCACTTTTATGAGCACAGCTGCTGTGTTCTCTGCTTCAAGGTCCAGGGCATGCCTTCCCTGTCCCCTGAGGACAAAGGTCACTTCCTCTTTGTGCACTCCCAACTCTTAGACACTCCTCTTCAGCACCCCCACTACATCATACTGACACGTCTCAGTGCCTGCTTCCTGGATTAGACTACAAGCCCCTCCAGGGCAAGGACAGCATCCCCCTCATCTCCAGGGCCCAGCCAGTCCCGGGAAGACAGCAGGCATCAGTGGATGTTTGTTAAATTAACGAAAGGAAAATTGTGAGGGGGGAGGTGACTTTGTACCAAACAAGTCTGAAAGTATGAGGGTGACAGAGGGCCCATGTTAATTTAGGAATCAGACTAGACTAGTTTTTAAACTGGAGAAGTTTACACCAAGGTCTAGGTCTGTGAACCACCCAAAATTTAAACATATCTTCCTTGGATGTGGTTAAAAATTCAATTTTATCCCAGGGCAATGACTTCACAAGCAACATATTAAGCTTTTCAAGATGAGTCTGTTCAGCAAACAAACCAACCATTAGAGAAATCTGCCTTCCCTGCAGGTTACCTGACAGGATGAGTGCTGAAGGCCAGACAGTTCGCGCTCTTCTGGGTTAGAGTTAAGCACCCGGCTCTGCTAAGGACTGTGAAGGGGGTCACACAAGCAGGTCAGGCCGGCTCTTTCCATCCTCGTCTTTCCATCTCCATCTTACCCAGTGCCAGGTCAAATGCAGAGCAAGCTGGGAAGCGTCAGCCCGCAAGGGTCCCGCCCCCTGGGGGTAACCTTGTGTATCCTGTTCCCCACAACTTCGGGTGAAGCACGGGATTCAAAGCAGCTGGAGCCAAGGTACACCCCGGCCAGTGTCTCAGGCTCCTGCCCCCATCTCAGAAAAGGGACCCAGCTACTAGAGACCAGACACCTAGAAACAGGTAAACCAAGGCTCAGTCACCAAGGCCAGGAGGAACATGGGATAAACAGATGGCCTTCTAGAGCATTCGGATGTGTGGGGCGTGAGAAGGGAGGCAAGACACTAGGGGTGGGGGGGACCTGGAGACTGGGGCGATGGAGAAATGGTGAGGGGGCTCCGAGTCTGGCGGTGAGGAATCTGTGGGTCTCCGAGAAGGCATGGATAGGGGTAACCGTCCTCGAGTTTCCGAAGAGCTGCCCTCCGGCGGGTGAGCAAGGCGGGCTGAGCGTGAGAAGGCCCTGGGCCTCTGTGCGAGGGGGCCTGAATCCCGGGGCACGCGTCCTCGATGTCAGGGGACCCGGCCCTGGGCGCCCCGGCCCTGACCCGGCGCACGAGGCAGGGAGTCCCGGGGCGCGTCACGCGTGGGGGCGGGCCGGGCGCCAGGGGGTGTGACCCGAAGCCCGGGGGCTGGTCCGCGTTCCCGCCGGCGCTTCCGCCACTCCCGGCGACACAGGCAGGCGGGCGCCAGGCTTCCTATCTCTGAGTCCCCCGGACTCACCTTCCTCCCTCCCCACTGGTTGGGCCCCGGACACTGCTTCCCACAGGCGGCGCGCCTTCTCACGGTCGAAGCGCAGCCCGTCCGGTTCCCGGCCCTCCCGCTCCTCCGAGCTGTTGTATAGCCGGGCCCCTCCGCTGTCCGCGGCCTCCGCGGCGCCCAACGCGGGGTACTCCATCTTCCCCGCAAGTCCTAACCGGCCGATAGCCACGCTTGAGCCTTAGTCTCGCGAGATGTGACTGGGCGAAGGCCTTAGCCCGGCCAACAAATCTCGCGAGGTTTTGGGGCCGCAGACCGCGTTGCGGCGCCGGCTCTGCCGCTTCGCTTACCACGCCGCTGTGGGGGACCTCGCTGCGTGTGACGTGCGTCCACAGCCGACTCTTCCCTCCAGGACCAGCTCGTGCGGTCCTTGGCTCAGGGTTTTCAGTTTGGTGGAGGAGAGTATAAGAAAGAAGCCAACAGATAGTAATCAGTACTAAGGAGAAGATAAAACAGGAATACACATTATATGAAGGATGTGCAAGGACTGTTAGGATGGTCAGAGAAAGCCTCTGAAGGAATGACATTTGACCTGAGACCTGATTGATGAGAAGGGGATGACTCTGCAAAGAGCTGGGGAAGAATGTTCCAGGCACAGGAAACAGCAGGTGTAAAGACCCTGAGGCAGGAGTGAGCTTGCTGTGTTGGAGGAACAGAAAAAAGAACAGTATGGCTGGAGCCCGGTAAACATGGGGGAAAGTGGTATCAGAGAAGGCCAAAGAGAGAGAGAGAGAGACAGAGATTTTTCTTGCCTGAGATCATACGGCTCATCAGTGGGATTTACTCATTTGTACTACAAATATTGACCACCAGCTCTGTGTCAGGCCTCATGCCAGGCTCTGGAGCTTCCAATGCAATAGATGACTAATGTTTATGCAATGCTTTACAGTTTATGAAGCACCTGTAACATACATTATAACATTTAATCCCCAGGGTAGTTCTCCTATGAGGGATTCTTTCGTATTTAACAATAAAGAAACAGACGAGGAGGGGCCGGCCCTGTGGCCGAGTGGTTAAGTTCACATGCTCTGCTTCGGTGGCCCGGGGTTTCACGGGTTCGGATCCCGGGCGCGGACATGGCACCACTCAGTGGGTCATGTTGAGGTGGCGTCCCACATAGCACAACCTGAGGCACTCACAACTAGAATATACAACTATGTACTGGGGGGCTTTGGGGAGAAGAAAAAAAAAAGATTGGTAACAGATGTTAGCGCAGTTTCCAATCTTTAAAAAAAAAAACAGACGGGGAGAGGTAAAGGTATTATCAGGGTCACACAGCTGATTAGTGGCAGAGCCCATGCTTGAACACTGGTCCTCAGACTGCAAATCCATGTCTTTTTGCAGATACCAGATGATCATCCTAAAAGCCAATGACTATACATATTTATCTCAAAGAAGATTTCTAGTTACCCATTTTTGTGTAGCACGAGTTATTCAGCTAAAAATCTGAAGGGATAGAGGGCATTTTTGTTAAAATCCCAGAACTCACAAGGATATTTTTTAACACAATGGAGCAAATCTTGGGAGTGGAGTATGTACTGAAGATGTTGTGCGTATTGTTGGAAAGCAGTCTCCCTCCCCCTACTCTCAATCCAATTAGATGCTCAAAATAATTTTCATTTATTCTCCAAAGAATGCAGTACTGTTTGTCCCCTGTGCCACTGAGGCAGAGTCCTGAGCTACAGCGCTGAATGTCTGAACAGCCCTCATTGTCACTAGTTTTCTGCTTTGTCTTCATGTAAGTGCTTCCAATAATAGCCCAGGCTTGGACTCCTTGCTGAGACCTGACAGTATAGGTGATGCCTTGTATTTGTGGGACTGGCTTTTTATTTCTTCCCTGTGGAAAATGCGAACCAGTTCCCAACATATTCTACTGTGTATTGTTGCTATGGGAGAAGCACAATCCCAGGGAAATGGATTTGCCAAGGAACAGGAATTTGCCACAGTTCAGCAAACATTTCAGTTGAATAAACATTGACTGTGTGTGCCCTCAAACCCATGCTACAGAGCTTAGTAAAATATGGTTCCTGCCCTCAGGGAGATTAAACTCTAGAGATGAAAGTATCTACTGTATACATGATATCAGACAGTATGTTACCCACTATTATAGAAGTGACAACTGTTTTGGTTGTACCCAGGATTTAATTTATAGAGGTGACTGAGTGATGACACAGGAGTTCAATGCCTTTGAAAGTTTCATTATGCACAGTTCCCAAGAGAGAGGGGCACGCCACACCATGCAGGGTTGTGTGGGAAAGTACCAGGGTTGGTCAGGAGGCAGAAGGAGTGAGGAGAGAGCATGACCCAGAGACTTTATTGTGTTTTCTGCAGGAAGTAATGGGTGAGGTAAAGTAAGCAGTTTAAGATTGGCTGGTTTGAATAATTTCAGTGGAGCTCTGGGCTATAGAAGTGGTCCCCAGCTGTCTGGTACCTGGCCCTGGGTTCATGTAGGGGAGAGGGAATATTGGCTTGGTGGATGAGTTAGATAAAGGAGGTGGTTGGGGTTTCTAGTTTTGGATTGGTTGGTTTGCATATGAAAGGTATGTTTGAAGGTAAATTGTTTGCTGTCTGTAGGAATTAGCTAACCCTGAGAGGGGCAGTTGCATCCTAGTCTACGAGGTCCCAAGATGTCAAAGCATCATAAAATACAGAAAATAAAAAATGTGATTAGTACAACAACCAAGGCAAGTGTGGATGGGGTGGGACAACAAAGTCACAGTTGAGGGAATCATAATGGTATTTGTGTTACCCCGTATGAGGCTTTCTACTTCTTGGCTCTGCAAATACATCTCTAATTGTTAGAAGCGGCCATATATTAGGTTTTACTAACAGGGTGTGAACAAGTGCTGTTTAACTCAGAACCTGAGATTGATCCAAAACAGCAGGGGTGCTCCTGAGGAAAACTGTGGAAAAGCCACACTCTGGGGGTCACATCTTTGCTGCAATCCTTCTCAGACTGGGTCATTTTATAGTGTCTTCAGGGCTGTAGGGAAGCAGTGTCTTTGGGGACGCCAGGTTTCAATTCAGTGACTTTCCCAGGACAGATTGAGGGTATAGGGGAGTTTACTGATCACAGAGTGGGATTTCCAGAGGATTTTGAGGAGGGGGGGAAGGGGGAAGATTAGACTAGATTCAAGTAGAACTTCCCAACTTTTTCCATATTACTGCCGCTTAGAAAATGAGCGTATCCGTATGACAAATTAGAGCAAACAGGTAAGGCTGGTGCTTCTCATCTCCCCAGTGGTGGTCTTCCTGGGCCACCCCTGGGGCTGGATGGGTGGATGTTCAGAGCCATACGAGGTGCAATGGCTTGCCAAGCTGTCTTAGATCCTGATGATGTCTGAGGCAGGCATGATGGGGATTAACTCCAATAATCTCTGAGAAATAAGCAGGCCCTCAGTTAAAGCTGTGAGGTACTCACCTTGACATCAGCTGCTCCATTCTGCACTCATGACCTATGTGACCTTAGGTAAATTATTTAACAATTTGTGAGTCTGTTTCTTCATCTGTAAAATGAGAAAATGGTACCCACTTCAAATGGTAGTTGTGAAGATGAACTTAATCTCCATAAAATACGTAGCACATTGCCTGGCACATAGTAAACTGTAGTTATTAACCAGTTTGTTCTGAAAGCTATATTTTTCTGATAATTTAATAAATTGTTGTTAGATTCCAGTCTCTATCTTGGTGGAGACTGTCTCAGCTAAATCTCATTTTTTCTCCACAATTTCTAGAACCAATCTCTTTTTTTTTTTTTTTCTGCTTTATCTCCCCAGATGCCCCCTGGTACATAGTTGTATATCTTAGTTGCAGGTCCTGCTGGTTGTGGCATGTGGGATGCCACCTCAATGTGGCCTGATGAGTGGTGCCATGTCTGCGCCCAGGATCCGAACCAGCGAAACCCTGGGCTGCCGCAGTGGAGCGTGTGAACTTAACTACTTGGCCATGGGGCTGGCCCCTAGAACCAATTTCAGTTAATAGTCTGTGCATTTGATTATGGATCAGAGCAATTTAGTCTAGTTTAATGTATCCAGGGAAATCTAGAGTGGCCTAAGATGATCCAACGAAACTTTGTCATCTCTACTGAAGGATTGCTAAGGAACAGTACGGATCTTGAACTGGCATAGTAGTCCGAGTCACATCAAATCAATAGGCTTTATTTAGGGGCTACTACATTATGTACCAGTAGTATTCAGGCTGCTATAACAAAATACCATTGGCTGAACTGCTTGAACAACAATTTATTTCTCACAGTTCTGGAGGCTGGGAAGTCCAAGATCAAGGTGCTGGCAAATGTGATGTCTGGTGAAAGCCTGCTTCCTGGTTCATAGACAGTCATCTTCTCCCCCTTTCCTCATATGATGAAGGAGGTCTCTGGGGTCTCTTTTATAAGGGCAGTAATCTCCTTCTTGAGGGCTCTACCCTTGTGGCCTACTTACCTCCCAAAGGCCCTACCTCCTAATACCAAAACATTGGGGGTTAGGGTTTAACGTATGAATTTGGGGGGGACACAAACATTCAGTCTGTTGCAGCCAGGCACTGTACTACACTGCTCCCTTAACTACAGTGCTTCAGTGGCTCCCCAATGCTTGCAGGACAAAGTTAGAATGTCCTCCTGTGGTGTAAGAGACCCTTTGTAGTTTGACTCCTTCCCTGTCCACCCGCTTCTTTTGACACTCTCCCAAGCACCTTGTGCTCCAGTTGTATGAATGGGCTTCGGCACTATGGTTTGTTTCCTGACTGGGGCATCATTTCACACCTCTTTACCCTTGCCTATACCTTTCCCACTGTTTTGAGTGCCCTTCTACCGTCTTGTCTTGCTCATTTGACACACTTCTCCAAGTTTCAGCCACAGTATTGTCTACTATGCAGAAAAGAGTTAACATGGCAGGCCTGACACTGCTATCCTTTGAAAGGGCTGCTTTCAAGCTTGGCCTTTGGCTGGCATCTGCGAATTTGGATTTCAGGAGATTTCCTAAATTCTCTAACATGTAAGGGGGGCTCACTGAGCCAAAATCGTGCAAACAATATGGTTTATGCTAAATACCTGCTTTCCTTTTGGGAGTCTGAAACTTTGGTACATGAGTGCCTACATGACTGACCCCTGCGAAAGACCCTGGATTTCTAGGTTCAGGCAAGCTTCTCTGGTAGACCACACTTCACAAGTGTTGTCATAATTCCATGTAGGAGAACTTA